ATATGAATAAGATAACTGGATAATTGGAAAAGAATGGACAAAAGATACAAATATAATGATTTAAATTAAGATGAAATAAATAAAATAGAAAAGAAGAGTGGAAAGCGGGGAGAAGTTATAATGAAGATATAGAAGGGTAAATAAGATAGGTAATGGCATATAAGTTGAACATGAATTTAATTGAAGTCCATACAAAGAGAGGTAATCCGGGGCCAAGCTACTTTTTAAAAAGAAGTTTTATGTTTTTGTGTTTTGTGTGTGTATGTTTGATTGAGATTTAATTAAACCTTGGGAGAAAGCGAGAAGAATAATTGTAAACAAGGCAGAGGGAAATATGAATATGATGAGTATAAAATGGATAAATATAGAAGAAATGTAATTTGAATAAGAGCAAAGAGAAATAATGAGAAATCTGTTAAAAAATATTTAAGTGGAAATGGGATATATTAGAATTATATTGTATAAAACAATGTTTTATCTGCCTTGTAAAAATTTATAATGGAAAGAGGTTTAATGTCTTTAATGTCTAATGATGCTTTGTTTGTCTTTAAAATTAATAAAATTTGTTTCAAAAAAATAATAATAGAATAAAAATAAATAAATAAATAAAAGATGTCGTCCAAGTAACATTGGATCCTCACTGGAACAGACCGGAGCGAAGCCACCAATGTCACCAGTAACTTTGTGAAGACTCTTGGAGCAGACGAGAGCCTGAAAGGAAGGGCCTGATACTGGAAGTGGAACTTCTGGTAACAGAAACGGAGAAACTGGCGATGATGAGGCCAGATGGGAATGTGGAGGTAAGCCTCCGTGAGATCAATGGAAGAGAGGAGATCGCCCTCCCGAACACTCTCCAGAATAGAATGCAGAGTCTGCATTTTGAAGCACCTATATGGGATAAACTCATTCAGAAATTTTAGGTTGAGAATGGCTCGCCACCCCACCCCCCCGAAGCATTAGGGACCACGAAAAGCCGAAAATAAAGCCCACGTCCATGTTGTAATTCAGGGACTGGTTGAATGGCCCTTATATCGACCAGGTGACTAATGGCCGATTCCATAAGTGCCCTTCGTGAACTGTCCTGGGAAACGGAGCAGAGTAGAAATTTTTCTGGGGGTGGTGATAGAAATTCTAATTGTAACCCCAACCTTACTGTATGGAGTACCCAGGCGTCTGTCATTGACTCCTCCCATCTGGAAGCAAAGGAGGCCAAACAACTTCCAATGGGAGGGGGGAACAAGAGATTATTTAGAGCGATGGAAGGAGCAACCCCCTCCCCCACGAAAGGGCCGTTTACCCACAGCTTGTTGTCTGCTGATAGCCTCATGGCATTGATCTTGACGCTGAGAATACACTCTCTGAGGTCTGGAGAAGCGAGAAGCGTTTTCAGGCCTGAATGAGGGAGGCTGGTATGGGATATGCCCTCTTTCCTGTTGATGAAAGGACTTTCCTTTTGTCTTTTGTTTCAACAACAAATGGGTCAAGGGCATCACCAAATAGCTTCTCACTGGTACATGGGGCAGAAGCTAGTTTCCACTTTCGTCGGGGCTCCGCTTGCCAATTTCGTAGCCATAGCAGTCTCCTAACTGCCACTGATGACGCCATGGCCCTGGAAGAGAACTTGGCGGCGTTGAGGGTGGCATCCACTGAGAACTCTGCTGCTGTTATGATCTTATTGAGGTCTTGATGCAACCTACAGTCTGATGGAGGTATGCAGCCTTGAAGTTGGCGTAGCCAGCGGATGGAAGACCTTGTAAAAAAATGATGTAGCAGTCAAGGCCCGGATGGCCCAAGCCGAGACTTGATGGTTACGCTTCAGTGTTTGTTCGGAGCATTTGTCCTCTGCCTTTAGTACGTCCTCAGGCTCAGTTGGAGTGCTTGGGGAGAAGGAGGCCACAACTGGGGCGTCTACTGGGGGAACTGCCAGAGCTGTAGCTAAGGAAGGACCCATGTTGTAGAACCGCCTATCTTGGGACGATGGTCGGGGGCCTGCAGTGGGGAAGGCAAATTGTTCCTTGACTAAGTCAAGAAAGATGACGGGGGAAGGAAGGACCTCTGAATGAACAATGGGTTTGGAGAAGGGGAATCCCCATGCCCCGATTGTACCACTTGAGGTTCGGGGGCAATTTCCTCTGCTGACAACTGGGCTGTTACCAATGCCTTGTGTAGGAGAGGTTTGGATAAAGCAGATTTGAATACAGAAGCCAAAGGAGGCTGATCAGGCCTCAGAGTTTCCTCTTCCTCCAAGAGGTTGGGGTCCCAGATTTCTCCCTCTTCTAGATCAGAATCAGGGGAGGGGCTGCGCTCAGATGATTCCTCATACTCTCCCTGAGTGAGATCCACTCCTTCCACATAGGTAAGATGGGCCCTTTATTCTACCCGGCGAGGTAGTCCCCTTTGGGGAATCTGAGCTAGAGGAAAAGCCGGGAAGGAAGGCTGAGGTCTGTCTGAAGGCCTGAAGATGTGTTGGAGCCATTCTGCCAGACCCTGTTTGATGGCTAAGGATACTACTTTGTTGATGTCAGAAGATCTGCCACTCGATGGAGGATACGGGGGCTGAAGACATGCTGCTGTTGGAGTAAAAGTGGCCTCTGGTCTTGATTGAGAGCTGCTTTGGGCCACAGATGGGATAAATGAAGAAGAAAGATCCCAAGGAGTCTGGGCGAAGTTGAGACCTGACCTGCTCAAGTCTTGAGGTCCTGGTTGGATTTCAGGTCGCTCTGGGGACCAGGATTGGAGGTGGCTAAGAGGAGCTGAGGTATTTTCCCTCTCCCTAGAAGTAGCTGGCTGAACAACTAGAGGATTGGCTGGTTGGGAAGCCTGTTGTACTTGACCCCTCATTTGTTCAATAGTTTTGTTGAACTGCCTTTCTAAGGCTGCATGTCTTCGTTTCTCTGCCTTTAATTCGGCCTGGGATGTTTTCTTAGGGCACAAAGCTTTGGCCTTATTCTTGGCTGCCACCTCCCTTTGAACAGACTAGGAGTGTTTTCTCCTTCTCTTTCTTTTGCCAGCTTGGGGGCCTTGAGAGATCAGGCCTAAAGGCTCTGTGTGGACCTTGTCTGCCAATGATGAATATAGCTTTCGCTTTTGCTGCTAACTAAACTGCTTTCAGAGACACCAGCTTATGGTCATCGAAAGAAGCTGAGTCAAAGCTGGGGGGTTTCTCCCACAGGCTGCTACTTTTATACTAGACGGACACAGCTTGATGATGTCATCAGGAGGAGTCATACCCATCCTGGGCTCTCGCAAGCAGCATGGAGGAGAAAAATGGGAATCCCAGAACGATTTGATGGTCTGATAAGAAATTTACAGGTCTCAGGAAGCCACAGTACTAATAGAAAGAACATTGCAAAGCAGAAAGGCTCCCAGTTTGCACATGCATATGAAGACTATTAAAAATTGTTTGCATAAGATCATACAGAAACAACAAAATAAATTATGATATTACAAATACTTGCATGAAGTCTTTAAAATCCAGGACAAAAACTTGGTAACAATATGTTTTTCTTAAATGATATTTGTTTGTTAAACAAATAACTTTTATTATAGAACTGTATTTAAATTCTGTTACTTTTTTTTAGAATTGGTCGGTTACAAGGCAACAGGATAGATGAATCCATCAAGATCAGTGCTATTGTAATGAATATTTAACATTCCAATTATTTTTTATGATGATGATGAATACTTTGAAAATGATAAGCTGCTGAAAATAAAACATTAGTCTGTACCATATGGGAAGTAATATGTTTAATTAAAATTATATTAAGGAAAAACATTGGGAAAAAATTGCCTGAACTCACCATCTCTTTTGGAGATTATATATTCAGAATTTTTTTAAAAAAAATCAACTCGAGTCTCATCAACATATCTAACTTCACCAAAAGAAAACATTTGTAGCTAAAAGTACCGGTACTTCAAAAACATAGCTAGAAAAAATCTCAAGTTTTTTTAAAGAAATCAAAATGATTATATATCCCCTCCCATGCAAATGTGTCTTCAAGCAGTATAAAGAATTAAAAATACACTAGAATCTAACTACGTACAATACAGGTAGAGCATACTTAATGACTGCTCTGTTTAGTGACTTTCTGAAGGTATGATAGCACTGAAAAAGTAACTATGATCAGTCCTTACAACTTTATATTTATATATCACATTTAAAAACTTAACTTTGCTCCTGCATTTTGTTTTAGCTGTAGCTTCCAGACCACAATAATAGCTATCCCAAAGGGAACACAACGAATCAATCAAGATACCAGGTTATCAACCTATTTGCCACAGCTATTTCTGTCCATGATGACATTCTTGGTACTGCAGCCACTTTGTCACTCATGATTCTAATGTTTTATAAATCCCATTCTTCCCACAAAACTCTGTACATTCTAGTAAATTTAATCTTAATTTTAATTGTTGTTGGGTTTTTTTAGTAAAATCTGAGGTGCCTTTTCAGATGCATTTAAGAAAGTTATCTGACATAATTTAAGGGAGAGAGGTTAAAATATAATTGTACTCATAGTTGCTATGAAGAATATGAGAAGCCATTTCTTTCTCTTTTTTTTTCTTTTCTATTTTTCTTTAACATTTTTCCTCTCTGCACTCTTGACTTCGTTTCTTTTTCCCTTTTCTTCTTGATATTTAGCTTGTATTACTTTTTAATCTTATTTTTGTAAAGTTTCAATAAAAATCATATAAAAAAGAATCAACACTCAGAGTACCTCTCACTATTTTAAAATTGCAGAAACTGTTTTATATCACAGATAAACACCCAAGGATTCTAACTATAATCTGAGTATGAATGCATGTATATAAATTTATGCAAGGCTACCGAAACTGCCGCAAGAGCAGGCCTTTTGTCAGTAAAACCTCAAGTTGCTGTTTGTGTGCAATGTTTCAGCTCGCTCTCCCTTGCAGCCCACAGTATTCTCTCAGCATCTGATATGGTTCGTGAAGCAGAATCAGTAATATCTAAAACAGCATTAGAACAAGACAGCTTGATGTACCTTGGAATTAGAAGTTGATTCCAAGAAGCAGAGCCTGTTGCCAAATCCTTCTGCAGCAAGACACAATTTCTGTTGTTCCTTGTAAACAGTAGCAGTACACTGCAGAACCACTTCATCATCCTATTAAAAACAAAAAAGAGAGAAGGGAATGACAATAAGATTAAGTCTTTTAGATTGCAGATCTTTGGGATGTATTTCCAAATGAAGTCAAAATTAATTCTAAGACAGTTATTTATTTATTTCACTGGCATAAGCCATCACTGAATGAGAAGGACAACCACATACCATCACAGCAGGACAACCACATACCATGTCCACAATTAAATCAGAAAAAGACTTTTCCAACTGGAAATATTTTGATTTAGTGATTTATATACAGCACAAATAAAAATAAGTATTTAAAAACTTATCTTTCTAAGTGATTTCAAGATAACATGTAATGAAAGGTTACCACTTTGCATTCGTATTTTTGAAATATTTGTATGGCAACCTCATTTCAAGAATTTAAGATAACATTTTAATCTCAAATATAATCTTATTACCAGATGCAGCAATTAAGATTATTGCTAAGCTAAATATGGCTATTCAAAGATGACCCATGATTTTTATTAGTCAACAATGACTCAAAGGAACCAAAATCACAAACACATTCTTAATTAATTAATATGCCACCCAGCTCACTGTTTAGCACTAAAGCAATGCCTGGCACTAAAGGAGTATCAAGCATCTGAAATGTGATCACATGATCATGGGGGTGGTACAGCAGTTGTAACTTCAAGGACAGATTGTAAATAACTATTTTCAAGTCTGTTGTATCTTTAAATGGTTGTTAGGTTTTGTAATTTGAGAAATACCTATACACACTCTGGTCCCACTGTATTCAATTTCTTTTTACATATCCAACCTTCATTTCCATACAATATAAGTAGCCCTCAACTTATGACCAAAATTGAACCCAAAATTTGTGTTGCTATGCAAGACATTTGTTAAGTGAGTTTTGCCCCATTTTATGACCTTTCTTGTCACAGTTAAGTGAATCACTGCAATTGTTAAGTTAGGAACAGGGTTGTCAAGCGAGTTTGATTTACCCATTGACTTTGCTTGTCAGGAAGTTGCAAAAGATTATCACATAACCACGGGACACTGCAAGTGTCATAACTATGAGTCAGTTGCCAAGCATCTGAATTTAGATCAGACCATGGGGATGCTGTAATGGTCAGAAGTGTGAAAAATGGTTGTAAGTCACTTTTTCCGGTGATGTTGTAACGCTAAACAGTCAGTAAGTGAAATGTTGTAAGTCAAGGACTACCTATAGTCGCACAGGTGTGCTCTCATGTAGCCATTTTTACTCTTTTTGCCATTCTTTGTTCACAAAGACAATATACTATCCACTTTCTATCAGCATTTGATTGTCTTAACATTTCTCCATCTAAAGTCCCAACTTTAGTAAATATTCAACAAGGGTGATTACATTCATCTGTTTGCTCTAATACTTCACTATTTATTTCAGCCATGGTAGCACAGTGGTTAGAATGCAATACTGCAAGATACTTCTGCTGTTCATTTTTCACCCACTCAAGGTTGACTCAACCTTCCATCCTTCTGAAGTGGGTAAAATGAGGACCCAGATTGTTGGGGACAATATGCTGACTCTGTAAACTGCTTAGAGAGGACTGTGAAGCAATGTGAAGTAGTATATACCGGTAAGTATAAACTGCTATTGCTATGCATTTCTTCCAACAGTTCAGTCTATTTTCCCTGAGAAATATAACTACCTTTGTTCTTTGATAAAGTTTCAGACCATGATTCCTGGTTGCATCATGCAATCTATTCAGTGCAAATCATCTCAGCCAACAAAACAGCATAATCTGCATCCAAAGTACATATGTGTTCACATTCCTGTCCAACATGTTTAACCTCAGAGCAAGCATTGTGATTTATTTATCTATAAAAACTACAAAAGGAACATAAACAACTTCTTGTCTTCTTCCTGCCTAAATACCAAACCAGTCACTAGCATCCATACATTGCTACTTGCACTTAGATTCTAGACTATATTACTCTTATTTCATTCAGCAGCCAACCTGCAATTTCATATTCACATAAAACGATCCATAACTGGACATCATACACTTTTTTCTACATCAGTAAAGAAGTAATAAACTTTCTTGCACTCTCATACTGATCTACTTGTCCACTTCTTCCTAACATAAAACTACAGTACACTTCAGAAATTTTGCTTAGTGTCATTTCTTGGACTCTTTCCAAGACTTCTACCAAGCACCTTTTCAAAGAGTAAAATCCCCTGTAACATTTATATTTATTCTTGGTTACCTTTCCTTGATCAAAAGCACATGGCCATCATCATCTTCACAAAAGGAATACCAAATAGCATTTAATTGAAAAATTTCTAAGATTTGTATCTTTTAATTACAGGCAAAATCATCTCTACCTTAATATTTAATAACAATCTGCAGTTTAAGAATATTATCATTGCTGTGATAATACCAAAGCTGTCCTAAACTTTAGGTAAGAGTATTCCAATCTGGAATGCAAATTGAGATGCAGCTGCAACCATGTGATGGAAGCCATGTCCTTTTTAAAATGTGAGCAAAAAGAATTAAGGCTTCAATCTTATTATGCCCATCATCTTGACTTTTTCTACCCTTTCTCTGCAGACATCCCCAGCTTTTACTTAGGTGTCCTGCAACAAAATATTATGAATTCAACTACAGCAGTGAATATTTTAGTTGTTTTCAGTTTGCTAGCTAACTCAAGGAATTGAAATGCTGTGGCTGGATGCGTGTGATTGTCAATCTTTCCCATCATTAAGAATCTGCCCTTTAAAAGAAAGTCTTATAGGACAAATCCCTCATTAAAAGGTCTCATGTTGATGTTTTAATTTATTTGAAATCTGTACAGCGCAGCTAAAGAAACCATTTGAAGAATCCACCAATTAGAGTTCCTTACGAAGATACACATTAAAATAAAGGAATAGTAAAGTTAAAGGAATAGCAAACTATCTATGTTTTTCTCAGAGCCAAGAGAGACCTGGAATACACAAATCTTCCTTCATATCAAAACACATCTGAAAAGAATAAGAAGTAGGACTGAAGTGAAAATTCATTTTGGGCAAAAATAATTTTAGATTCAATGTTTCTAGAATGAAATTTAACAGTATACCTTTTAATACTCTGCAAATCAAACACAATGAAATAGCATTATTTTAGAACTATGAAAAAATAGAAAATGCATGCATTTTTAAACGTTAAAACAGTTCAATGTATAAAAAATAGCTATCAGGATATGAAAGGAGGCAGCAAATAATTTTTGTTCTTTCCTTGGCAACTGATACGTTAACAGCATACTAACATAATCGAATGAAAAATTCTATTACAAATCATAATGTTCTCTGGTAACTCATAAATTATGCATTTTACTTCAATACCAGACTTAAAACATTTTCTAGTGGTATTTTTTGCTATACCATTTTACAAAAAGAACAAGCTGAATACTGTCTGCTGTTCTCTGCCAAATCACAATTCAATCTTTTGCTTTGGAAAATATGTCCATTAATGAAGTGTTACTAGTTGCATCTCATTGGGTCCTTTCACATACAAAAAAAATATATCCACCAAATGAAACCAATTCCCATTAGGTTGCTCTGCTTCTGGAGCAAATATGTGTGATGCAAGAGACATGAAGGAAAGTCTAATAACTTGTTTCCTCTATCATCTCTTGGTGTAGGGGAATTTCTTTTTCAAAAACAAAAAAAAGGAACACAATACAGGTGAATTAAGAATGCTCAGCAACCCCAATAGCCTATATTGCATTATTCTTTTTGTTTTGACCTATTTATATATATTCTCTACAGAAACCCCTAAATCACAGGTAATACAATTTTTATAAAGCACTGTTACTTTTGGTAGAATATTTTACAATTTGGAAGTGAGATACAATGGATTTCTGTTCATACAAGATGGGGGATAATGATCCCGGTTCTTTGTGGAATGCCCAACTTAGGGGTTTTAGAAAGACTGTTGCTAAGATTCCTTATGCTTGAGACATATATATTATTCATATCCTCAATTTGAGTAAAAGTATAGATATTCAAGTCTATGGTAATCTACTGGTATTCATTAGTATCAATATGCCTGCGTATGTTCCAAGCCCCATCTCACTTTTGGGTGGGAGTGTATTAATTGAAAATACCTACCATGCAGCCATTGTAATAATTAGCAATCCTACCCATGATAACCATAGTATTTAATATATGGTCTCAAAATTCTAGAATTTTGGGAGGAAGGAACTGATGAGCAATTCTACTCTTGGGGAGTTACTTATATAAAACAAAATAAAACATTGGGATACACAAATGCTTGGTAATGCCCAAGGTTTTACAAGAAAACCCAATTTTTTGTGTTGTTTTCTGTTGGTGGTATAAATCTATTGACAATGATCTGTAAGCACCTCATGACTTATTGACTACAAGGTAATAGTAGGATACAGATAGAAAGTAAAGGATTTACTCTAAATTCCCTCGCTACTTTGCCTGCTCTTTGTTAAGAGATTACTAATCTGAGGTCAAATTCCTTGTGTGTCCAATCACACTTGGCTAATAAAGAATATTCTGTTCTGTTCTACTCTTTCTTCTCAGGCATAACATATGGAGGATGTTGGAGGGTCAAGATAGAAGCTATTACAATTAGAATAGGATAGGATAGGGGAAGGGGAGGGGAGGGGGAAAAGAAAATAGAATAGAGTAGGGTAGGGTAGGGTAGAGTAGAGTAGAGTAGAGTAGAGTAGAGTAGAGTAGAGTAGTGTAGAATAGAATAGAATAGAATAGAATAGAATAGAATAGAATAGAATAGAATAGAATAGAATAGATTATTTACAAATCAGTATTTATGTAAAAGAATGCGAAATATAAGAGATCAAGTGTTAACCTATTTAATTTCCTTCCTTCTCAAGTCTCTTTCCCTCATTTTTCACTTATACAGTACTTTATTATGGCTTCTTCTTTCCTCCTTATCTCAATTATTGATACTGGAATGTCTGAGTTTTCTCCTGGCTGTCTTGGCGCCTAACAAAGCTTTTAACACAGAAAGTTCTTCTGTCCAGTATTTGAATCTCCTTACACAGCATAGTCTGTCCTCCTGGTTTTTTTTCCACATTTTCACAAGCCACTCCAGGATTTTCCTCCTGGTTTTTCTCCTAGTCCCAGGGTTGTAATCTCTGGGCCGTTTCTCCACTTCACTCGATATTAACCAGATGACATCCCCTCAGGCAGTGTATCTTGCAGCATCTGAAAT